AGACTCTTATCTCCAATAAACCATGAGAAAACCAGAAATGGCACTGTGGCTCATGTGGTAGAGTGCTAGCCTTGAGCTGAAGAGCTGCGGGACAGCGCCCAGGCCCAGATGTTCAAGCCCCACAGACAAAAAAAAAAAATCATCATTTTTTTATATCCAGCCCATTAATTACAGTACTAGTAAATCCTGGGGGATGGGGGGACAATCACGAATTTGAGAGTAACACTCAGGGGCCTAGAGGCAAGAATTGTGGGAGTCCAGAAACCCCAAGCCCCTACTGTCTCCATAAAGGGCTGGTCCCAAGTAGGGAAACCAAGCCTTTGAGGAGCAATTACTGTGCCAATATAGTCACACAGCAGGCTCTGTGCCTGCTGGACAAGGCGGGGACTCTGACTCCCCAACCCATGGGGACTGGGCCACTTACAGACACAGCGATTTCCCCCAGAATGTCCTCTGGAATCGTCATGTTTTTCTCCAGCACCTTCCGGTAGAACTTGTCCAGGGACGTGTCCATGAGCTCCATGCAGATCCACACATCTCCCTGCAGGGGGCAGCAGTATTCAGTGACCCTTCTGGGCCCTGCTCTATGTGGCCTGGCTTCTGAGCACCAGCCCCAAGCTCTCCTGGGAAAGGACTTTGATGACATGGAGAAACTGGGAGTCATGGGGCCATGGCCTGCTCCTTCAACATCCTCAGGATGGCTACCAAGAAGACAGAGCCTAGCTAAGCCTCCTGACCCACTGGGGTGCAGCCTGCCAGAGCAGATGCATGACAGAGGCTCTGCGCCACCACTGGGACCTGAGAAGGGCTCCATGCAAGAGTACGGAACTAGAAGCCTTTAAGACTACTAGCAGTTGGGCTGGGAAGGTGGCTCAGTGGTAGAGCGCTAGCCTTGCATGCCTGAGGCCCTGGGTTTGATTCCTCAACACCACATAAGCAAAAAGAAAAAAGCCAGAAGTGGCGCCGTGGTTCAAGGGGTAGAGTGCTAGCCTTGAGCTGAAGAGCTGAGGGACAGCAGCCAGGCCCAGAGTTCAGGCCCCACAACTGGACCAAACAAAAAACAAAGCAAGAGTATGGAACTAGAAGCCTTGAAGACTACTAGCAGTGTTATACAAAAGCAAGTCCCAGCAGGATGCTGGTGGCTTACGCCTGTAATCCTAGCTACTCAGAAGGCTGATCTGAGGACGTGGTTCGATGCCAGCCGGGGCAAGAAAATCTCTGAGACTTATCTTCAATTAACTACCAGAAAAGTGGACGTGGCGCTGTGGCTCAAAATGGCAGAGTGCTAGACCTTGAATGAAAAAGCTCAGGGACAGTGCCTAGACCCTGAGTTCAAGCCCCATCACCAACCGAAAAAGAAAAAAAAAAAGTAAGTCCTATACAGCATAGACGGCAAACCCTCCCTGCTTGCCCAGCACCTCCTCTCCCGCCTATTCCTCACCAAGCTTTCCGCACTACCTCACCAGCTCTGTAGGAGGCAGCTGCACCCTTCTTTCCCAGAGTCCAGAGCTAACCCCTCTCCCTGCCCACCAGCCGGACATACACCACTGGTTTCCATGACAACTTCAGGAGGCAAGTTCAGTAACTGACTCATTGTACAGACGAGGAAACTAAGGCATGGGGGCAGGGAGGGGCAAGTACAACAACAAGCATCCAGGAATGCTGTTTCCCAGGCAGGCCGAGAGGGGCTTTCCAGTGCTCCCTTGTGTCTTCTGAGGCCCCAGCACTCGACACACAGAGGTTGCTGGCAATACGTAGGTTGGGCAGGAGCCCCCCACCCTCCCCCACCAGGCCACACCTCTCTGAAGAGGGCCCCGTAGAAGGTGACGGTGTAGAAGCAGTCAACTGTGCGCATGTTGATGTCCAAGTCCATGAGCAGCCGCTTCTGCTCCTGCGAGTTCACCGTGGCCCGGATGCGCTGTGGGAAGGCTTCTGGTTAAAGGCTGCTGGGGCAGGGCCTACCTCCCCCCTCCAAGGAAGCCAGGCCTGGCCTGAGAGGCACCACCCTGTCACTAGTCATAAGCAATGACAGGACCACATGGTGGGCAGTTGACAGGCCCAGCTCAGCCCCATGCCTCCTCATAGCTGCCTCCAGGACCAGGCGCTCCCTGGCAGGGCAGGACATGGGAAAGCGTGAGTTTTATTTACCTTTACAGCCATAATGGTGCCACTCTGCGCATGTCGCACCTTCTCCACCACCCCATAGGCTCCACGACCCAGCTCTGAAATGGTCACCAGGTCATCAGCCTCCACCTCAAAGTTCTTAGGAGACAGAAAAGAGAGGGAATTGGTGGCGGCCATGTCAAACCTGCCTGGCCCTTGTCCTTCATCCAGCAGAAAGAGCAGTAGAGGCCAAGATGGACAGATCTGGGTTGTAACCTTGTACCGGCCACTCCTCACTGTGTGAACTTGGGGAA